GATATAAGAGGGGCTAGAATTGTTCAGTGCTTTATAGGTGTGAGTTAGTGCCTTGAATTGACTCCTATAGCACACAGGAAGCCAATGTAAGGACTGGCAGAGTGGTGAGGTGTGAGAGAACCGACTAGAGAGGAAAATCAGTCTAGCAGCAGCGTTCATTACAGACTGTAGGGGTGCAGTACGGCTTTTTGGGAAGACCAAGCAGGAGAGGGTTACAATAAACCATGTGGGAAATTACTAGAGCATGGGCAAGCTCCTTGGTAGTATCTGGTGCAAGAAAAGGGCAGATGCGGGCTATGTTTTTAAGATGGAATCTACAGGATTTGGCAACATGCTGGATGTGAGGCTCAAAGGTGAGACCAGAGTCAAGTATGACGCCAAGACAGCGCGCTTGCAAGGATGGGCTGATGTTGGTACCACAAACTTGAAGGGAGAGCGAAAGAGGAGGATCAGTATTAGGAGGAGGAAAGACAAGGAGCTCAGTTTTTGAGAGACTGAGTTTCAGAAAGCGGAGGATATCCAGTCAGAGATGGCAAGCAGTGACACGTTGCAGGACAGCAGGGGAGAGTTCTGGGGAGGAGAGATATAGCTGGGTGTCATCAGCGTAAAGGTGGTAGTGGAATCCAAATGAGGTAATAAGTTTGCCAAGAGACGCAGTATAAAGAGAAAATAGAAGGGAGCCTTGGGGGACTCCAACCGAGATAGGGCGAGGGGGGGAGGTATAATTAGAAAAAGAGACACTGAATGAGCGTTGGGAGAGATAAGAGGAAAACCATGAGAGGACAGAGTCACAGAGACCAAGCGATTGCAGAGTTTGAAGAAGGAGAGCATGATCAACGGTGTCAAAGGCCGCTGAGAGGTCAAGAAGAATTAGTATGGAGTAGTGGCCTTTGGATTTAGCTGCGATTAGGTCGTTAGTAACTTTGATAAGGGCAGTCTCTGTAGAGTGGAGAGGGCGGAAGCCAGATTGAAGGGGGTCAAGGAGAGAGTTGGAATTGAGGAAATGAGACACACGGGTAAAGACAAGTCTTTCCAGAAGCTTTGAGGAAAAAGGGAGCAGGGATATGGGACGGTAGTTAGAGGGGGTGGACGGGTCGAGGGATGGTTTTTTTAGTATAGGTACTACAGTGGCATGTTTAGACATACATTCAAACACATACACACACTCACACACATACAAATATACACATACATTCACACACATACACATACACTCACTACATAGTAGTTACATAGTTACATAGTTACATAGCTGAAAAGAGACTTGCGTCCATCAAGTTCAAAAAAACTAAACAATTTTAAGCAATTCCAATTTTGCAACAAACTAGGACAAAAAATCCCTTCTTGACCCCAGAATGGCAGTCAGATTTATCCTTGGATCAAGCAGTTATTACCCTACATTGAAAGATTATATCCTTGAATATTCTGTTTTTGCAAGTATGCATCTAGTAGCCATTTGAACATCTGTATGGACTCTGATAAAACCACTTCTTCAGGCAGAGAATTCCACATCCTTATTGTTCGTACAGTAAAAAAACTTTTCCTTTGCCTTAGACGAAATCTTCTTTCTTCCAGTCTAAACGCATGACCTCGTGTCCTATGTAAAGTCCAGTTTGTGAATACATTTCCACACAATGGTTTGTACTGGCCCCAAATATATTTGTATAATGTTATCATATCCCCTCTGAGGCGACATTTTTCTAAATTAAAGAGGTTAAATTTGCTAACCTCATTTACACATACACTCACACATACAAATATACACACACATACATACACTCATATACACATACATTCAGACACATACACTCATATACACATACACCAGGGCTTGACAAATTTGTTTGAAATCTAGGAGCCAGCTAAAAAAGTTAGGAGCCAGGATTTTCAACGCCAAAAATACAATTCTTAAAGGGAAACTATAGTCACCAGAACCACTACAGCTTAATGTAGTTGTTCTGAAGTCTATATCCTGTCCCCGAATGCTTTTTAATATAAACACTGACTTTTTAGAGAAAAGGCAGTGTTTTCATTGCTGCCTGGTGACACCTCTAGTGACAGTCACTCAGACAACCTCTAACAGTGCTGCCCGGGTCAGTGCTTTACACTGCACAGAACCTACCTTAATGTTCCCTATAGAGATGCATTGTTTCTTTCCCGGTAAAATATTTTATAAATAAATAATAAATAATAAATCTCTATGAGGAGAAGTAGATTG